TCGCAAAGTGGATGGCACTGTTGTCTGATTAGAATCAACCTGCCACAAGTGCAATCTATCCTCAGTCAAACTACAACGGTGAATCATAATTTTCCAATTGAAAGTCAGGATGTCCAAGGAAACATCCATCTGTTTTAAGTCGCAAATCCCACTTCTTGGTCATTACGTCGGCCTAGAGTCATGGTTTTTTCAGTCGAAATAGACTCCGATTATGTTGCAGTGATGGATTCCCCTAAAAAAACAAGAGGGGAAAATAGAACCAAAAGAAGGAAATTAGTCGACATGTATGGAACGGTCTTGGCTCAGCTGTAAGCCATGCCGGCGCCTGATGCGAGGCAGCAAGCCATCCCCCTGGCGCCGAGCGAATGACTTGACCGTTGCCAGGTGAACCATTGAGGGGGACCATGGGATAGCGGGGGCGGGGGGAGACCATTTATATATAACATATATATATATATATGTATATGGTACCCCCTCAAACTCACAAAGCCAGGGTCCATGGGGGGGGGTAGCATACAAATATATATATATATATGCTATCCGCCCTTCAAAGATCGACCATTTTCTGTGTTTTGAGAAAGATGCGGTGCATTATTGCAAGAAACAGATGTACATATGCTGGGGTCGACATTCAAGTGCAGTGTTGTTGAGGACGGTTGCAAAATTGCGCACCTGCCAGGGCTGCAACACTGCAAGGCTTTGCAAAACTGCAGCCCCTGGCAACCTGAAGTTTCAAAACTTCAAGAGTTTCCAAGACACTGCCCAAGCAAAGCTGCCAAACTACAGACCTGGCAAAGCAAGTCTGCTAAACTGCAGGCACTGCAGGCCTTGGTTGCAAAACAGACTTGGCAGGGCTTCAGCTCCAACACTGCAAGGCTTTGCAAAACTGCAACCCCTACCAACCTGCCAAAGCACTGCCCAAGCAAAGGTGCCAAACTACAGACCTGGCAAGGTTGCAAAATTGCCAACCTGCAAGGTTCCAACACTGCAGGGCCAGCTCCAACACTGCAAGACTTTCCAAGCAAGTCTGCTAAACTGCAGGGCCCTGGCAAGGTTGCAAAATTGCCAACCTGCAAGGGCTCCAACACTGCAGGGTTGCAAAACTACAGCCCTTGCCAACCTTGCCAACCTGCCAAAGTTTCAACACTGCAGGCTTCCCACTTGCTGCAAGGTCTGCCAAACTACAAATAAGGCTGCAAAATCCAAACTGCAAGGCTCCAACACTGCAGGCACACCCAACTGCAAGGCTTTTCAAGCCTGCCAAGCAGTCTGCTAAACTGCAGAGCAAGGTTGCAAACTACAACCTCTTGCTAACTCAACACTGCAAGACTTCCCAAGCAAGGCTGCCAAACTACAGACCTGGAGGTTGCAAAATTGCAAATCCAATCTGCAACCAACTGCACCAACACTGAACTACAGACAAGCGAGTTCAAACAGAAGTTCCAACACAGGCCTGTTTGCAAAACAAACTTGGGAGCTCTGTCTGCCAAAGCTCCCACACTGCAAGGAAGGCTTGAAACTTGGTTGCTGGCCCAGCGCAACATTCCACAATTTCCAGCAAGGCTGCCCATCTGCAGGGCAAGGCTGCAAAAAACTGCAACCTGCCAACCTGCCAAGTTTCAATACCCTGGCAAGGGTTCTTGCCACCTGCTACAAGACTTCCACCACCAAACTGGCACTTCCAGCAAACTGCCCAAGCAAGCTGCCAAACTGGGTTCCAGCTCAAAACTTTAACCCGCTTGGCAAGAGTTGAACTCTAAGGCCACTGCAAGACTTGAGCGCCTCACCTGCCAAAGTTTCAACACTGCAGGCTTCCCTGCTGCCCTGGCAAGGCTGCCAAACTACAGGCAAGCAAGGCATTTCCAACAAGAGTTCCAACACTGCAGGCCTTGGTTGCAATACAGACTTGGCAGGGCTGCAAAACTGCAGCTCTGTACGCCAAAGCTCCAACACTGCAAGGAAGATGCTCAGGGGCGAAGGGCAAGAAACCCATGAAGCTGCAAAAACCTCGAAGAAATCAAAAAAACAAAAACACAGGGTCCTGGGAGAGAATGCCCAGGTCAGAATCTGGAAAAGTGAAAAACCTCGAGAAAATCAAAAAAATCAAAAGAATCAAAAAACATCAAGGCCTTGAGAGAGATAGTCACTGGGTCTGGGCATTCTGTTCCAGGACCTTGATTTTTTGATTTTTTTTTCGTTTCTTCGAGGTTTATTCACTTTCCGAGATTCTGACCTGGAAAAGTGAAAAACCTCGAGAAAATCAAAAACAAAAGAGAATCAAAAAACATCAAGGCCTTGAGAGAGATAGTCACTGGGTCTGGGCATTCTGTTCCAGGACCTTGATTTGTTCTTTTTTTGATTTTTTTTGATTTCTTCGAGGTTTATTCACTTTCCGAGATTCTGACCTGGGCATTCTCTCCCAGGACCCTGGTTGTTTTGAATATTTTGACTTTTTTGATTTCTTCGGGTTTTTTCAGCATGTTCATCCTGTGCAGCCAAAAGGCAGATGCAAGATGAAGTTGGGAAGCCAGAAGCCCGAGACCTTGCAGATTCTGGGATGTGTCACCAGAGATAAAACCCAGAAAATGGTCGATCTTTGGGGGGGGGGGGGTACCATATATATATATATGTATATATATATGAGGAGCGGACGAAACACTTTACTTGGCCTTAGTACTTTTTTTAACGTTATCGTTTTTGGGGGAGACCTAATCGTTTTACAGTGTTTTCGAACTTTGGCAGATCCGGCTCCAAAATCGCAACTTTCTAGCACAAGTCTAGTACGCGAAGTACACTTCCGCAGCTCCAGCTCGAAATTCGCAACTTTGTAGTACAAGTCTAGTACGCGAAGTACACTTCCGCAGCTCCAGCCCGAAAATTGGGAAATACAATTCCGCAGCTCCAGCTCGAAAAGCGAAACTTGGCAGGCAGTACAAGTCTAATACGCGAAGTACACTTCCGCATCTCCAGCTCGAAAATCGCAACTGTGCAGTACAAGTCTAGTACGCGAAGTACACTTCCGCAGCTCCAGCTCAAAAATCACAACTTTGTCGTGCAAGTCTAGTACGCGAAGTACACTTCCGCAGCTCCAGCTCGAAAATCGCAACTTCGTAGTACAAGTCTAGTACGCGAAGTACACTTCCGCATCTCCAGCTCGAAAATCGCAACTTTGTAGTACAAGTCTAGTACGCGTAGTACAAGTCTACGAAGTACACTTCCGCAGCTCTGCAGCTCGAAAATCGCAACTTTGTAGTACAAGTCTAGTACGCGAAGTACACTTCCGCATCTCCAGCTCGATCATCGCAACTTTGTAGCACAAGTCTAGTACACGAAGTACACTTCCGCCTCTGCAGCTCGAAAATCGTAACTTTGTAGTACAAGTCTAGTACCGAGTACACGTCTTCCGCAGCTCCAGCTCGAAAATCGCAACTTTGTAGTACAAGTCTAGTACGCGAAGTACACTTCCGCAGCTCCAGCTCGAAAATCGCAACTTTGTAGTACAAGTCTAGTACGCGAAGTACACTTCCGCAGCTCCAGCTCGAAAATCGCAACTTTGTAGTACAAGTCTAGTACGCGAAGTACACTTCCGCATCTCCAGCTCGATCATCGCAACTTTGTAGTACAAGTCTAGTACACGAAGTACACTTCCGCATCTTCAGCTCGAAAATCGCAACTTTGTAGTACAAGTCTAGTACGCGAAGTACACTTCCGCAGCTCCAGCTCGAAAATCGCAACTTTGTAGTACAAGTCTAGTACGCGAAGTACACTTCCGCATCTCCAGCTCGAAAATCGCAACTTTGTAGTACAAGTCTAGTACGCGAAGTACACTTCCGCATCTCCAGCTCGAGCAACTTTGTAGTACAAGTCTAGTACGCGAAGCTAGCTCGAAAGTTTGTAGCTAGTACTTTGCTAAAATCGTTTGTAGTACAAGTCTAGTACGCGAAGTACACTTCCGCAGCTCCAGCTCGAAAATCGCAACTTTGTAGTACAAGTCTAGTACGCGAAGTACACTTCCGCAGCTCCAGCTCGAAAATCGCAACTTTGTAGTACAAGTCTAGTACGCGAAGTACACTTCCGCAGCTCCAGCTCGAAATTCGCAACTTTGTAGTACAAGTCTAGTACGCGAAGAACACTTCCGCAGCTCCAGCTCGAAAATCGCAGCTTTGTAGTACAAGCCTAGTACGCGAAGTACACTTCCGCATCTCCAGCTCGAAAATCGCAACTTCTCAGTACAAGTGTCGGGGCCGTGTGTTAGTTAAGGGTTATCGTTTTTGGGGGAGACCTTATCGTTTTCCATGGTTTTGGCATGTGCTATGCAAAAACGTACCCCGCCTTGATAAAGTGGTCTTCGTGTGTTTTGTCCGTGGCTCATATATATCAACAACACATGTTTGATTTTCGTCCATAGTCAAGTCTGATCCCTGATTTCGTTGCCATCAGGCTCGGGCCAGCCCTCAGTTTAAGCACATATTGCTTAGGCGTCCTGGTTCCCCTGCATCTTGTTGAAAGAAACAGGCCCAGCCCCAAGCAACAAGCAAACAAGGTAGTATCACACTAGGCAATGTCTGACCATGGCATGCCATTCTGACAATTCCTGCCGCAGTTGTTGCTCCCAACATGGTTGATTCTGAACTATTCTCAACGAAGCTTGAACCACGTATATAAGACATTTCAAGAAAGATCCCACCATGAGGTCTCTTCCCCTGCTTATACATTTTGTTCAATTGTCCCGCCAAAGGAAATGATTGGCATTGTAAAAAACCAACCCCCTCGATGCATTTGACCCGCATCCGCTGCATTGACTTGGTTTGGGGATGGCTGCCGATTCTAACTGAGTGTGTCGATAGTGGAGTGGTGCTGAAAGGGGACATACTCCAAGCGACGGAAATATGCGGTGTACATGTGGCAAATATGCCTCCCGCTAGGTTTGTGGAAAGAATAGGCGGCCGACTGTCGGCCGTCACCTGAATTGGCAATCGACCGATAGACGACTGGACACG